TGGATTATCCCTTAACTGTAAGACGTTGATTACTGTCTTAACCATGTATGACTTGGACTGTTTGATGGACTCCGATACCTCTATTTCCACGGAAGTAAGAGCCTATTTAAACTGCAGTGTCTCTGTATGCTGGTTTGTGTGTTCTCCAACACCACTCTCACAACGCTTCTCTGAACGCACTCGCTCTCCCAACAGGGAGATTTGGTTTTATGTTCCCCTTGAAAAATATTAGCCTGAGGAGATCCCAAGAGGTCAGAACACCCCCCTCCTCCCCACCATCTCAAAAAGCCCAGATGGGCATCGCGGATTCCCCACCTGGTCCTGGGCATCACCGAGTCTTCCCATCGCTTCCTCCAGCTGCCCTCGGAGCTCCCTCATCGCTTCTTCCTGCTCCTGAAGCTGCCTCCGGAGTGCGCCCGTCTCGTCCGCCGTCCCCTCACCCTGACGGTGCAGAAGACAGTCAGGAGTTTTTGGAGGAAGTTTAGGCAGCCCTGGACTTTTTTTTTTTCCTTCTGAAAAGTTTTTTTTATTTTTTATTTTTGTTCTCTCTATACAATTATAGGTATACATTCACACCGTTATTACTCTTTTTTACATTTGTCATTCTTATGCATTTCTCATTCCTTTTACAGGGTTATAACATGCTGTTTGGGTTGCTTTGTTTACCATCCCTCGCCTGTTTTGACACCACCTTCTTCTCCCTTTCTTTTCTCCCTCTCTTCCTTCCCTACTTCCTTCCTCCCTTCCTCCTCTCCTTTCCCTTCCTTCTTCCCTTTCCTCCCCCCTCTCTTCACCTTCCTACCTTCTCTCCTTTTCTCCTTCTCCCTCCCATCTTCCTCTCCTCACCTCCATCTTCCTTCCCTCCTCTTCCTCTCCTCTCCTCCTCTCTTCCTTTCTTTTTCTATTGTTTAGTTGTCTCTTCCAACCCTTAATTTTTATTTTCTTGGGGTGGGATTTCCGCAGACCCAAAAAGAGTTGAACATCACTTCTTGTTCCCTTTCCTTCTCAAATCTATGCTGATTATGTTTGTATCTTACTTTTGAATATATACTTATATACTGTTATTTTCTTTCCTATTTTCCTCCCCTCTTCCCCCTCTTTTCTACTTAATGGTGTATAATCTACCGACGATAGGCAGCCCTGGGCTTTTCAAATGTTTTCACGTTTTAGGCCAAGCGTCCCTGGAGCCACGTGTTATCGGAAGGGAGTAAGTTTGCCAGCGGAAGTGGGCAGAGGGTCTCTGGGCAGGAAGGAGCCACGTGGCTTATTTGGGAGCCTCTCCCCATAGCGCAGAAGCCAGGAAAGACATCAGAAGGAACAGCTGATCTGCAGGAAAGACGCTCCTTTCTCTCACATGGGGCGTTTAGGGGGCGCACAGCTTGGAGATGGTGACTTAGTCCCTGCGGAGGGGAGGGGGCTCACCTGGACAGGAGGCGGGGGCCCTTCCGGCGGCCCTTCTGCAGGGGCTGCCCCTCCCTGGGCCGTCAGCTCCTCGATGCGCTTGTTCAGGTTGGCCACCTTCACTTTAGCCTGCAGCTTCAGCTTCAGCAGCTTCGCATCGGCCGCCTGCCGCTCCTCCTGTAGGCGGACCAGAACGTCACGCGCGGGGCGAGAGCTCGGGGGGAGGGGTTGAGGGGCAGGTGTGACCCTTGCAGGAGGATGCCCAGGGTGCAGTCCCAGGTGGACCAAAGATCCAGGGGGAGCCTTTTCAGCCCAGAAGGAAAAGCTCATTGCCTGGGGACGGTTGGGGGGCGACTCCTGCAGGGCCAGGTTACTTCCCCCCCCCCTCTAGTTTGCAGATAGATTTATATCCCACCTTTGTTACTTTTACAAATGACTCAAGGTGAGAACGTATCCAGCACACCTTCCTCCTATCTCCCCTCTCGGAAGGCGGGTTGAGCCGAGAGAGGAGGACTGGCCCCAAATCACCCAGCTGACTTTCCTGCCTAAAGCAGGACTAGAACTCACCATCTCCCGGTGAGTTCACCGGGAGGCTGTGAACTCTAGTCCTGCCTTAGGCATGAAAGCCAACAGGTGACTTTGGGCCAATCCCCAGGAGGCTGTGAGTTCCAGTCCCACCTTCACAAACACACACACACACACACACACACACACACAAACACACAGAGGGAAAAGTCCTTGGTCTGCTTTCCACCCACCTGAAGCACGGCCTCCTTCTGATGGAGCTGGGCATCCTTCTCCCGCACCAGCGTCTTCAGTTGCGCCACCAGCTTCTCCATGTGGGCCAGCCGTTCCAGGACGTCCTCTGGGGTCTCCTCCCCATTCTGCTGGCTGGATTCAAACTCCGGTCCCTGCGGGAAGGGGGGGGGGCGAAAAACAGGAAGCCGAAGCCCCTAAGTCACCCATGGCTTTTCAAGCTCTCGATCCCCAAACAGGGATATTGGGGTCACATGAACACCTGAGAAGGGCCCCATCATTCACCTAGCGCTGCCAAGGGGGAGGGAGAGACACAAAGGAGGCCAGACACAAGGCCCAGGTCACTTTGGCTGTCCCTGCTGCAAAAGGGTCAACCTCCCTATTCCGCCACAAATGAGCAACTCTCAAAATTAAATTAATTAAACATAAATGTGGAATAGGTTGCCTGTTACAGATTGGTGGTGCTGACTGCTGCTTTATTTATTTATCGTCATCATTTAACAATCCCACAATCCCTTGCGGGGTGGAGTCAGGGCAACTGGATGGAGCAATGGATGTGTTGACTGGCCAGATGCTCTTCCTGTCGCCAATGCGGAGTTTCATTCAGCAGGTATATTCTCATTGTGCCCAGAGAGAGAAATATCTGCCTCTACCTGGGATCGAACTCAGCGCCTCCTGATTGCAAGGCCAGAGAATCCACCACCAGGCCATCGCAGCACCTGCTTTATTTATCATACTTAAATATGCTGCCCTTTATTTATAATCATCTATGCCATTGTTTCTCAACCTTGGCAACTTGAAGATGTCCGGACTTCAACTCCCAGAATTCCCCAGCCAGCATT